AAGGTGGCGACTGCATCTGCATCTCCGAACAAGCTCATCCTTGGCAAGCCCATCAACGGCAAGCGGGTCGCCAAGGTGATGAGGGATGGTACAACCCTATGTCAGGGCTTTCAACGGGGAGACTGCAAGCAGAAGGGCAAATGTACTGCAGGTGCCCACCGATGTGGAGTTATCACACGGGGGGATAGAGTCTGTGGCGCGCCTGGGCATGGGGCCCACACGTGCCGATCCAACATCAAGGAGTGATGGGGCCCCGGAGAGGAGGCGGCAGCCTCTTCTGGGGTCGATTTTCCACCTATGCCGCCACAGTCCCCCCTTGCAGCAGACATCATGAGTGGACCAGGGGCACCAGTCAGCAAGGCGTTGTTATGGTGCGGATGGAGAGTATTGCCCATTGACATCCTCCTGGACCCCACTCATGACCTCAGCGATGCAACCCGCCAGGCACTTCTGCACGAGCAACTACAAGAGGCTGACTGCATCATGGCTGCACTGGACTGCTCCACCAAATCTCGGGCTCGAGAGATACCACTGCACTTCAGCGATGGCAGACCCAGCCCTAAGCCGTTGCGCTCCAATGACCACCCAGAGGGCTTACCAGGGCTGAATCCCCAGGATGAAGCTAGGGTGGAGCGTGATAACAAGGCAGCTGGATTTGTCCTGGAAGAGATCCAGGCCATGGTGCAGCGGGGAGGCGCCACAATTCGGGAGAACCCTGGCCGAAGCCTCCATTGGGAGTTACCCGAGGAAAAGAAGCTGATGGACTCGGGTCAGTACTGGGAGACAGAGTACTCTGCTTGTGTCTTCCAATCGGCACGGTGCAAGTACCAGAAGGTGAGGCACAACGTCCTGGAGATAGCTCAATGGCCCAAGGCCCTGTGTGCTCACACTCATGCAAGTGATGAGTGGAGGCCATGGACGGAGCATGGTCAGCGGGTCTACCCGTCGAAAGAGGAGGCGGAATACTCCGCGGGCTTAGCTTTTGCGTTAGCAGTTGCGCTTTCCTGGTGGGCGGTACGAGTTGGGCGAGCTGTGCTCCATGTACCTCGGATGCCACCTATGGAGGCGGTGGGCCGCCGGGAGCATTGGCTGGAGCTGCACCCGCAATCGATGAGGAGTTGGGCAATGGCACCATTGGCCATCCTGCTGGGTCTGGAGCCACCACACCCCCGGGAGCGTGCAAGGATCCCCAGCCGGGGTCGGGTGAAAGAGCTGCTACATGAGGGGCAATTGCCAGCAGGGGCCGTCTATGTGGGGCAAGGTCATCATTCACACAGGTTACCCACTACTTGTTGGAAGTCACCGTTCGTTGCAGGCCATGATTGTGCTCCAGATGAAGTAATGTCCTTGTACATCGACCACATCAAACGTAACTTTGGCCAAGAGCTCCATTCCCTGTTGGGGAAGACACTAGTGTGTGATTGTGCCGAGGATGAACTCTGTGAGGCGGACGTTCTAGCAGGCTTGCTGTTTGAAGCCACGAGCCCTAATGCATCAGCCCCACACCCACGGGCAGCGGGCATACCACCCAGGAGAGTTGTCCGGGGTCCCAAGCGAGGAAGCTTGGCCCTGGCTGCCTTGCAAGCACCGACATTGGCTGGTTCGTCGGTCGTCAGGTGGACGCAAGAGGCTGTGGTCACAACTTTCCGGAAACTCTTCCCGGCCGAATGGTTCTCTGGATTCAAGTTCCCCATGATCGAAGACCTCGTGAACCAGCATCCCTTCTGCAGTTACGTGCAATGGCGTGAGGCGCAAGGGTTGGAGTGGGATGGTCCCCTTAACCCTGCTGGGGGGTCTGGCGTTACCAGACTGCGGCAGAGGCACGCTGATGGCAAACAGGCAGGGAGCCTGAATCATCGAGCAGCACTCCCACCTCTTCTGCCGTTCGGATTGGACCCAGACGAGCATTTTGAGGCCGCCTGCACTGTGGGGCATGCCCTTTGCCGACGGAGAGATCGCCGGTCGTGGACACTGACCTCCAATTTGCCGCGTACATGCATGCTCAAGAGAAGGACTCCCTGGGGTCATGGAGGAGGCGAGCTCTGGGCATGTTGCGGGAGTTGAAGAGGCGATGGACCCCAGTAACAGACCAGTTACGCACTCTTCAAACAGACGCAATCGCGAGAGTCACCACCAAGAGGGACTTGGGGCTGACTGCACTGCTGGTGGTGATAGCCCAGTGGGGGGACACCTGTTATCCCTATGGCCTTATCACGGGGCTGCCAGCAGTTGGCACGGCGCCTTGTTACAGCATCTTTCCAGCGCAACAAGGGAGCATCATCAACCTGGCCGATGTAGTTGCGGACACCGACGAGCACAACCGAGCCATTATCGCGAAGTTGCGACCTGGTCTTCATGATGAGTTTCTGTTGTCACAAAGTTTGGTGGATGCAGACAAAGGCTTTGGCACACAGCCTATGACTTGGTCAGAGCTTTTACGAGCCACGAAAGGACGCCCATTCCGGCTCATCCCGCGATGTGTCATTGTGCAGCCAAGTGGTAAGAAGCGTATCATCGATGATGCAGCAGTGGGCGGCCAATCGGCACTTTCATCCGACTTCAACAAGCTGGTACTGTGCAGTGCACTTCGACCAGCCCAACATGTTGCAGCAGTCGCGAGCTGGATGTCCCAGAGTGACTGGGATCATCACATGACTTATGACCACTTTGAAAGCGGAGGCGAGGATTGGCCAGATGCTTATCGACACAGTCCAATCTCCAGGGAGGAGAGTCTCGGCTGTGTTGTTACTTGGTGGCATGATGAGTGGCAGCAACCCGCCTTCCAGCTCTACAACTCCTTGCTCTTTGGGCTCCCACTGGCAGTGACAAGCTTCAATCGCTATTCCAAGTTTGTAGAAGCGCTGGGACGACGCCTTCTTGCTTGTTTGGTGTCTATGTACTTCGATGATGCGAATGTGGTAGATTGGGCTAGCTCCAAAGGGGCGTCGCAGATGGCATTTATCCACCTCAATGAGATCCTTGGTACCCCCTTGGCAGTGGAGAAGCATCAGCCCATGTCCAGCCAGGGGCTTTTCCTCGGATTAGACCATGATATGTCCCATTTGAACTCTACTGGCTCCATCAGTTTTTGGCCCCGGCAACGCCTCATCGACAAGATCAAAACTTTGATGCGTGATTGTCGAACCTCAGCCCGGCTACATTCAGGTACAGCTTCCAAGATCTACGGCATGATGAACTTCCTCGAACAAGGAACCTATGGTCGTATTGGCGCTCAAGGTCTGGCACCAATTAAGGAGAGACAGTATGAGAAGGGTATTGTCCTGACAACTCGCATTTTAAAGAGTTTTGAAGTCATCGAAGCGATACTTCGGGACAAGCCGAAACGTCAGTTTTTCATTTTTCCTCCCCCATGCCTACGGTTTGTGGGTGCGTCGGATGCAGCTCTGGAGTGTCCAGGGCAGGGCACCGGGGGGTTCTGTATCGTCTGGATGGATCAGCCTGGGGTCACCAGGGAGGCTTTCATCGCAGACTTGCCACAGGAGGTATATACCCTGTGGGAACCAGGCGACCGCAAGATTGCACAACTGGAGATGGTTGTCATCTTGCAAGCATTAGTTTGTAGACCACACCGATTTCGCGAGAGGCGCGGAGTGTGGTTCATTGACAATGTGGCGGTCCTTATGACGTTGATCAAGGGGCGAAGTGATTCCCCAGATCTGGAAGTCATGAGCGGCATAATCCACGCGTTGCTTTTTGCTTATAAGACCTGGATCTTTTGGGAATGGGTACCCTCCAAGAGTAACTGGACTGATTCGATCAGCCGACTTGGATGGAACGACCCATGGTTTAAAACCAATGGTTTCACAGCGCAGTTAGCACCTTTTCCAGCCATTCTCTGGCATCTTCCCACAGCGGCCATCATTCGCACGGCCGAGTTTCTTTAAATGCATTGGGACTGAGTGCGTTGGGTGTGGAATGATACCTGGAGGGATCCAGTATCTAAGCCTGACTGGAACAGAATGCCACCATCAGCAGGGCTGTTTGATCTATAGGCATGCCCAATGCATTATCCTGTAGGAATGCAGGTTGGAAGAACATGGAGAATGTGGGTTGAGAAAAAGGTTGTGCTTACCTGACGCTGCGAGGGTTAGTGACTAACCGGTGACTTATTCCCCAACCTTTAAGGAATGTATATATATTATATAATATATATATATATATTATATATCATATATATTATATATATTATATATTATATTATATATATATTATATATTATATATAATATATATAGTATATTATATATTTTATATAATATATATTATATATATATTATATGTAATATATATTATATTTTATATATATATATATTATATAATATATATTATATTATATATATATATGATATATATTATATATAATATAATATATTATATATATATTATATTATATATATTATATATATATTATATATAATATATAATATATATAATATATTTAATAAAAATATATTATATATAATATATATCATATATATATAATATATATAGAATATAATATATATGATATATATATGTATATAGTATATAATATATATAATATATATATATATATGTAAATATATTTAATATATATTATATATGTAATATATATATATGTAAATATATATAATATATAATATATAAATATATATACATATAATACATATATAATAATATATAATATATATAATATATAATATATATAATATATATAATATATATAATATATATAATATATATAATATATATAATATATATAATATATATAATATATATAATATATATAATATATATTATATATTATATATATTATATATATAATATTTATAATATATATAATATATAATATATATAATATATATTATATATATTATATATATAATATATAATATATATAATATATATAATATATATAATATATATTAATACATATATAATAATATATAGTATATATGAATAAGACACATCGCCTTAAGATTTCACCCATGGTGTGCTGAGATCACCGCGCTGCATATGGCCGCAATGGCGGGGCAGACGGAGGGTGTGGAGCTATTGCTGAAAGCCAAGGCACCATTTTTTTTTCCAGATCAATATATGGGTATGGATCAATACCTATTAATACCATTTTTAGTGGGATGAACATCCATTTACCAGCTATTTTGGGGTTCACTAGGTACCAGGGTTTTGACCCATCCCCATATTGGAATTCCAGATATTATTAACCGTAGATTATTAACCATAGATTATTAACCAGTGATATTAACCAGTGATATTATTAACCATAGATTAACCATACATATTTTCAGATTGGTTCTAAACCAGATATATTGTTTGTCTCCCAACTGATTTTTTTTTATCAAAAAACGTATAGAACTTTCCCAGATGCTCCATGTATGGAATATTTACCTACATTTTTGTGATTTTTGGGATATATCAAACTATAATAGCAGTAATTAGTAAAAGTAGTAGGAGTAATGGAAAAGTGGGAATAATCAGAATAATTTGAATAAAGAAAACAATATATAGTGTATATATGATATACCCTCTGGTTATTTAACATAGCCATCGAAAATTGCCCATTTATAGATGGCCATAGGATTTTTTGATCAAAAAACAAGTATAGAACTTTGCAGAACTGAAACATATATGACATAACTATATATATATATGTAGCTATATATGTAGCTATATATGTAGCTATATATATATATAGTGTATATTTTAGAACTGTATGTAGCTATATATAGTGTATATATGCTATAACATATACTGTCATAGACTATAATATATGGGATATATTTCATGACCTCACGTTGCCGCGTCAAGTGGTGGGCCGGAAATTCCGGAGACACCTGGTGAAAAGACGAATCGATGGGGAAACGTTTCGCAATTCATGGATATTCGTGGTAAATACATGGTAAATACCATCTAAACACTGAACTGAATTCGGATACATTTCAATCATCTAAAGCCATAGGATTTTGCAGCAAATCGTATTGGTTGGGATCATTGACCCAGTACAGGAATTGGAACCAGCCAGGGATGAAACGATTCGTTTCTCAATCGATGGAGATTACAGGAATCTATATAGGCAGGCGATGCATTTGCATAGGGATCTATATAGTCTATATGCTACATCTATCAATGGATTGCTTGAAGGGAAAACCTGAACCGGAAACCATCGATTTTACCATCTTAAATAATATGGACTTTCCGAAGTAACATTTCCCTTAAACCAATCCATTGAATCTAAAGCCATTTTGCTTGACCATGCTATACTTGACACCACATTAGTGTGCCATGGTTTGACCATGAATGTTGATTCAAATCACTTCGATTTTCGCAGAGATGGGATACCCTCCGGTGTCAACATGGCAATTTTGTACATCCCCAGTTTATGGATGCTTTTCCCCCCCCCAAAAAAACAGAATCTATACTGTAGGGGTATTATTAATAGTCATTATAGGTTATCTGGTTGGTGGTTTGGAACATGGTTTTTATGACTTTCCATTCAGTTGGGAATGGAAAAATCATCCCAACTGACTTTCACTCCATCATTTTTCAGATGGGTAGGTCAACCACCAACCAGTTATTGTC